CACCATTAAGGAAAGTTATTTTCACATCCATTTGCCATATTTCATAATCATAGTATGCTGCTACAGCAAGCAAAATCCGAATAGATTTGAGCATTGCCAAGGGAGAGAAAGTATCGTCATAATCGACTCCTTCTTTCTGACGATATCCCTTGGCAACAAGACGGGCTTTGTAGGTTTCCACCTTTCCGTCTGCTCCAATCTTTTCTTAAAAACCCATTTACAGCCTATAGGTTTTATATCCTTTGAAGGTTCAACTAAAGTCCATACTTTATTTTCCTTCATAGATTCTATTTCGTATTCCATGGCCTTTTGCCACTTCTCATAATCAGAACTTTGTATAGCCTCTTCATAGGTCTTAGAGTCATCATCATTATGATTAACCTCATTTGATACATCATCTTGTACCATTAAATTTAATCTAGTTGGTACATGACGTTCTCGTGTAGACCTTCTAAGAGGTACTTGTACAACATGTTCACCTTGTGCTGGATTTGGTTGTTGTTTAATTTGGTTTGGAACTGGTTCATTAACCTGTTCTTGAAATTCATTTAGTTCTTGAACTTCATTTAGTTCTTGAACTTCAACCATTGAAGATGGCAACTTCCTTGGCAATTTCAAAACATTCAATAAAGGTTCTTCAACTTGGGTCTCATGATCTTTATATTGTGTTGATTCATTAGTTTCTTGAACTTCATCAAGTTCTATTTCTCCATTATAATTTCCTTCTAAAAGAAATTCCCTTTCCAAAAAGGCTGCTCCTCTGGCCACAAACACTTTATGGTCAGAAGGGTGATAGAAATAATATCCCATTATTTCCTTGGGGTACCCAATGAACCTACATTTATTAGATCTTGAGTCAAGTTTATCAGACAGGAGTTTCTTAACATAAGTTGGACAACCCAAAACTTTAATATGTTTAAGGTTAGACTTACATCCTTTCAATATCTCGTATGGTGTTGTAGAGACTGACTTATTGGGAACTTTATTAAGTAAGTATGTTGCTGCTTCCAAAGCATATCCCCAAAAATTTATTAGAAGATCAGTGAACCCCATCATAAATCTCACCATATCTAATAAGGTTCGATTTCTCCTTTCAGACACACCATTGTGTTGTGGTGTTCCTGGAGGTGTCCACTGTGAGAGAATCCCATTCTGTTTGAGATATCTGGTAAAATCTTCACTAAGATATTCTCCTCCTCTATCAGACCTTAGTATTTTGATACTTTTACCAGTTTGCTTCTCAACTTCACTACGGAACCTTTTGAACATTTCAAAAGATTCAGACTTGT